CTTCGCTGCCTTGGACTCCAGCTCGTACTGGAGCTCCAGCATGTCCGGCACGGCAGCGCTCAGCGGTGGAGTCACTTCATTCAATGCACGATAGTCCACAGTCAATCTCCATTCTCTGTCAGACTTGCGCACAGGCCAGATGGGGCTGTTGAAGGGTGAGTGGGTTTTGCTGACGACCCCTTGGCTCTCCAGCTCTCAGATCATCTTGTGGATGGGGATCACAGTGTGATAAATGTAACTTTGGATAAAAAAAATTCGTGAAAGAATAAATAAGTATATAGCTGTATTTATAACAATGTAGAACATATAAAATATAGTGTGGCCTAAAGATTCCTCCCCAGACCCAGCAGTAACTACCCATTCAGGCGATAACGACCCTAGGCGGCGCTTATCAGCCTGAGAGAAAGAGCAGGACACAGGCAATCAGGCTAGACAATGAGAGGAGCCCGGCCGAGATACCCATCGGCTCCGCACCAGACCTGGACACTTCACCCTGAGAGCCCAACCGAAGATACAATCAGGAAGCACTCAGAACCTTTCACATGCGAAAGGACTCTGCCCAGTTGTCTATTGATTCAGTTCTACGGTTCCAGGAAATCCATTCAACCAACCATCTAGACTCTTTGTTGAACAGTGACTGCTCAGAGTTTGGCCTCAGGACACAAAATCCCTATAAAAACCCCGGACAGTCAACTCTCCTTCGTGGATTTGGGTAAATCTGTACCTCTGGGTATAGACCCCTGTCCACCCAGCGCTGCGCTGATTTATTTTATTGTGGTTTTTTTTCTCTCGTTTGTGATTGAAATTGTTTTATAATAAATCGCTGTTTATATTAACCCTATTTTGCCACTGAATTTATAACAACAGCATCTCGATTTGTCCTATACTGCCGGCGGTGCACCGTCGAGGTGGCAATTGGTACTCGCTGTTCTTCCACCTTCAGGAATCCTACTGCAGATGGCTTCTCTGATAGTCCAGGCAAGCTGTTCAATTGCTTAATGTCCTCTGCCTCCACAGCAGCTATTCCAAAAGCCCACCTGAGTCCCTTTGGGTCTTTGTAATAGCCATTTCGAAGGAAGTCCATGCCCAGAATACACGGGGCCTCTGGGCCAGTCACAATGGGATGTTTCTGTCACTCTTTCCCAGTCAGGCTCACCTCGGCTTCCAACAGAGTCAATTGCTGCGATCCCCCCGTCACCCCAGCAATGGAAACAGGTTCTGCCCCCACATGTCCTGATGGCATTAGGGTACACTGTGCACCAGTATCAACTAAAGCATCATATTTTTGTGGCTCTGATGTGCCAGGCCATCGGATCCACACCGTCCAAAAGACCCGGTTTTCCCGTGCCTCTTCCTGGCTAGAGGCAGGGCCCCTCTAGCACTCTAGGAGAGGTCATCCTCTCCTCCTTGGGCATACATGCTAGAGGTTCCTTCAAGGGGATCATCCTCTTTTCTGTAATATCTGCCAGTTTGGTCACGGGAGGTTGAGGCTACCTTCACTTTAGTGGAACCTTTCTGGTTAATGGTTCCTTGCCTGACTTGACACATTCATGCTGCCAGGGCAGAAGTGGGTTTCCCATCCCACTTTCCCATGTCTTCCCCATGGTCACGTAGAAAGAACCACAGCTCAGTTCGTGAGGTGTACCCTCTCTCTCTAGCTGGGGGACGTGGGGCTTGGAGTTTTGGGCTTGTGACCCGCACTGGTGCCATATGGGAACTGTTCTTCCTCATCTCTTCCCTCATTTCCCTCATCTCCTCTTTGAGTTCCTTAATCACAGCAGAAATCTTAGCCTGATGTGGGCCATGGACCATACTGGCGAAATGTCTAAGCCTGGTGGTGACAGAACCCACCGTCTCTCGGCTGTTATCGGCATTAATCGTTGCAATATAGGTGGTGTAGTCACGTGGCCCTAGATTTGCCAGACTCCACAACATCTGCCCAGTGCACCTGACTTTGTCGGGGTCATTATCATGCTGTCCACCCCTCCCAAAAAGGACCTCTAATATTGCCACTTCTCTCAGCTGTTGGATCCCTTCCTCAATGGTTTTCCATTCCCTTCTATGATAGTGCTCTTCCATTCTCTCTCTGTGGACAAACCTCTCTCTTACACTCATCAAAAGCCGCTCCCAGAGGGAAAGGGGCCCTTGCTCCCTGACGAATATCTGATTCACACCTGAGTCCTGGGTCAAGGGTCCCACATTCCTTGCCTCACCACCATCCAGCTGCACGCCTGTACCCATAAGGTCCCAGACCCAAAGTAACCAGGTTGTATAAGGCTCAAGCCCCCGCCTCACAATGTCTTTTTGTAACTTACGGAGACTGTCATATGTCAGAGACTCAGTAATGATTTCAACTTCTGGCTCCCTTGTGGGTTGTGAGGGCCCTCCTTTCTTATCCTTATCAACAGGGTGCTGTGATTTCATCTTAGACTTTCTTGTTTCCACAGGGGCAACAGCTCCTGGCTGTGACTGTCCTTGTGGTTCAGCTGGAACCTGGACAGTTGTAACGTCTGTGGGTTCCACTGCAGCACCATCAGACTCTCCCTCTTTGAGGCAGGGGGAGGGTTTCCCAGCAGCTGAGGAAATGCACTCCTTTAGCATCTGGCCCATCTCATGCATCTCCTTCACCAGAACCCCCACCCACTCTGGGTGGTTCATTTCTGAGGTGGGCTGTGGAGCAGGGGCAGGATCTAGATCAGCACCCCCTGTCTCTGGGGCTGTGCCAGGCTCTGGATCAGCACTCTCTGTCTCTGGGGCTGTGCCAGGCTCTGGAGCAGCACCCCCTGTCTCTGGGGCTGTGCCAGGCTCTGGGGCAGCACTCACTGTCTCTGGGGCTGTGCCAGGCTCTAGAGCAGCACTCCCTGCCTCTTTCCCTTTGTCTCTGAAGGCTAAGTAGAACAGGCCTATCAGTATCACCAGCCACTGTAAGATGTCATTAGCATTCAGAGATGATTTTAACGCTTCGAAAACTTGCGGGGTAGGCCCAAGGAACTGGGTGAAAGGTTGGGAGAAAATTTCCCCAGCTGTCTTTTTCTCCCAGTAGGTACCATTAATAAAGTAACCCAAAAACCATCCAGTTAGTGTGTGACAGCTCTGAATCCATGAGCCCGCCGTCCAGAGGACGTTAAACATCCATGAATTCCTCACCTTATCAATCCACAAAACAAGCTGGATAATAGCCACAGTAGCCTTAGTTATAGGACCCATATTTAAGTAAGGTACCGCAAATGGGAGAAATATAGCTGTGACCACATGTCCCCCGAACCTGGGTAAGCTCAACAGCATGGTTCTACCTAACAAGGTTTCTAAATCCAGCACACAAAAGTTAGGTAATTTAAGAACTGTTATTCTTTTTATGCCCTTTTCTCTCAGTGCCCCACGGATGGGCGCCAAAATCTGTCTTGGTTCTAGAAGACAGGTGTCTGCTAGGGAGAGCAGGAGCCCCCCTTGGGATGAAAGAATGTAGACCCCCTCCCTCCGAATTATTATAAATTTGAAATCAAGGGGCTTTCAGGCAGAGATCTGGGGATAGGAATAACAGTTCTTTACTAGTATAACCAGGCAAACAAACAACAATAACTACAGCAATAACAAGAAAACAGAACCAGGGACCCCAGGACAGCTTTCTCCGCTGAGATGGGATGGAGGAGAGGCTTTGTTTTCACAAACCCCTCGGGCAGTCAGTCCCGGTGCTTTTGCAGGGCTCCGAGGAACAGTCGGCTGGAACAGCAGGGACGAGCTGAGATCCTGGGCTGGTGGCTGAGGTGTATCAGCAGGGATGAGCTGAGATCCTGGGCCGGTGGCTGAGGTGTATCAGCAGGGATGAGCTGAGATCCTGGGCCGGTGGCTGAGGTGGATCAGCAGCTCCGCGGCGGTGCCTAGCACTGCCACACGTCCCGGCAGGACAGGGGGTGCGAGGCCACCAACAAAGAGGGAAGAAGCAGCAGCTCCATCTGGGTGATGGTGAAATTCCCTTCTCCCCACCGCAACAGCTCTGCGCCCAACGTATCCTTCCCGAAGCTGAAGAAAGCCCGCCAAACTGTCCCCACCTTCCCCTTTTTCCTGCCCCCTTCCCCCCATGGGCCCGGCCGAACTCTTTGTTTTTTCTCAAGCACCCACGAAATACCCGCAGTTAGGTTTTCCCCGAAACTAATGGGTAAAAATTCCACAGGCAAGCCAGAATTAAAGAAAAACACCAAACCCCCAACACACAGCTAAGCCGTGCCAGGCAGTAGGAGCCAAGCCTCAAGTGACAGATTCTCATAAGAGCATGAAGGATAATGTGGCACTTGAAAATGCTGTGCCAGCTCCCGTTGGACGCCTCTGTGCATGCCAGGATTCCCCAGAAGCTGAGCAGAAGCCTGTTTCAAATGGTGTAACTTCTTTTGTACCTGTCTTCCCTAGCCTGACTGCTCCAGGTATGCGAAGTATGCGTGTCCAAGGGACTACCATCCAGTTTGTGGCACTAATGGAGAGACCTATGGAAACGAGTGTGTTCTCTGCCTTGCTAACAGGTAGTCAATTCTGTCCTTCCCTTCCCTATACGCAAGCAGAACGTTCACCCTGACATGCCAGAAAACTGATGGATAATTTACTGGCTTTGGATCATTTGTACTGTTGCGCTGCAGTTTCAGCAGTGTCCCTCCAGCCGTGTAAAATCTGTGCAACAGATTTTATTGTGATAGCTGTAAATGGGTTTGATTTGATTCAGTCAGCTGGATGTACTGAATATTTGTATTAGTAATTCCTGAGAAGGAGCATCTTGGAAGGAGGTTGCCTGTCATGTTCATACAATGTCATAGTACCAGTAAATATAATGCCAGACCCTCAAACACTTTTCATCGGAAAACATGAAAGATCCCACCCAAAATGCAGCTTTACATATAAGATATTTATGTTCAAAATCCCTTCTTTCACAAAGAAGAGTAAGAATGCTAAATGTTAAGAGAAAATACTATTTTGCCTTCAGGTTGTCTAAAAATCAAGAAGACTGCCTGATATTTGAGAGAGGGTATTTTATTATTTAATAATTTAATAATTTTTAAAAACATTTAAAACACAGAGAATCAAGTGGGCATTATTACTTCCCATTACAATTGACTGGAAACCTTTATAGAGCAGTCTCTCAGTACAAACTGGGAAGAACTGTTGTGAATAGAATTATGATGGTAAAAGGCAATTTATCTGTTTCCAGCAGAAGGTATAAGTGAGAGTAGCAGAACAGCAGCGAGGGGAGCTTAAAAAATGGCGAGCCAACAGATCTCAAGAAAGGCAAGGCTGAAACAGATTTCTGACTTTGAGGCAGAGGAAAGATTAATTCTGACCAGATGATCTACAAAATTCAAACGGCCAAGATAAAAGAAACATAGGCCAAAATAAGGAAAGTGAAAAACATATCAAAGGACACTCAAGGTAATATTGTAAAGAAAGTGCTGAAGTGTGTCATGCAGATCTGCAGAATTTGGTAACACTTTCACCAGAGCACAGCACAAACAACCCAAGCAAGTGACAAACTGCAAAGAGAATGGGTAAACCTACAGTGAGTAAAAAAAAAGAAAAGTAATCAAAATTCACACAGAGTAGAATCTGTTAAAAGGGAATAAAAGAGGTTCTGGCATGTTATGTATTAGAAGCCTACCCATCTTTCCTGCCTCAAGTGATGTTGGAATAAGTTATTAAGTGATTGGCTTTGTACATAGCCAGAGGTAAAGAGGAATGTAAGCAAAGCAGATACAGATTTGTCAGAAATAATCCGATCAAATCCATGAGATTTAGTTTTTTGGCACGATAACTGGCCAAACAGAGTAGGAAGAAATAGAAGTATTGGTGCATGACATTAATAAGGCAGTTTACATTATCTCCACTTGACATTCACATAAGCAGACAAATAGTTATTCAGCTGAAATTGTTAAAGGATGAAGTCACAGAAGTTTGAAATGCTGTGGTTCAAAAGCGGCAATCAGCATTTTACATTTGAAAGATCTATTATATTTTATATAATAAAAATTGCAAAATGGCATGGATATGGTGATCCATGCAGGATAATATAAAAATTCCCAGGGATCTGGAGAAATGGAGTACAGTAAAAGACGAAGAGAAGTGCTGAGTATTGCCCTTAAGAGAGTGCAAATCCATATTGTGGAGATAGAGACAGGAGAGTATCTCATGACCTAAACAGTATCTTTGATCCTTTCAGAGCAGAAAGATAGGCTTTGAGATCCAGCCTTACATTTCTAGGATGCTTCATTTTTTTAGGCATGATCCCTCAGTTCCAGATGGATGCATGGCAGATTCCTGAATACAGCATTGCAGACAGAACAAAGGGTTCTCCAGTCACATCTGCTACTAATTTCAACTCCTTAAGTAATTCCTTCAGTAATTAGTGATGGGGCTTATGTCTTTTTAGTATAAGATGTAAAAGTACATGTTTTTTGTGATACAGGGGGTTAAATCCAATTATACACAAAAGATAGAATTTTCTCATAACCATCCTTTTTTGCTGTCTTCTTACATGCTCAGAAACATGTATTTTGGTCTGAAGAGACACAGGGTGGTTAGATACTCTCCTGATGGTTTTTCTTTTATAGTTGAGTATCAGTTGAGTATTAGGGGCCCTTCTAGTTCAGTCTGGAGTTGTTGTTCTGAAGTGTTTGACTTGGCACGAACACAACACAGATAAAACTTTTTTCTTTATTGGAGGAATTTCAGCTTTGAAAAACAGTCCATAATCATAAGAAAGGGTCATTCAACTCCCAGGTAATCTAAGGTACAGTCTGTCACACTTCTTAGGAGGACAGAACAAAGGGATTTTTCTGCCCTATTTAGCAAGCTGCGTGACCAGTTGCTGAAATAGTGTAATGTGGCCATATAGAAACAGATATAGGGATGCATCTGGTACTAAATTACAAAACAGTCACTTCTCAATTAACTTGGGGTGATTCTCAGTTGCCATCTTGCACGTTTGTTCTAGCCCTTATTTAACCCCATGAAGGGACTTACTGGAGGGAGTTATACTTCCTGAAGGCCAAGACAGATCTGTCCATGTGCTCTTTTAGCCATGAGGGACTGTGTGGGCACCTGGGGAGCTCTGTGTGAATGGAATGCTGCAGAAGAGGTTGCTGCAGTTGATCCATGAAAACATGAGACAACTGGAGCAAAGGTGCAGCACAAACCCTCCCCATCCTGGCTGTGCAGTGACGCCCCTTAACTGTAAGACCAAAGCTGGTTTTCCTCCCTACTTTTTCTTTTTTTTTTTTTTTTTTTTCCTTTTAAAGCTTAGATTTACTCGTTCTTAAGTGGGTGCTCAAATGTGAATCCCAGGTCTCTTCCACACTTCCACACTCAGTGTCCAGTAGCAATGACAACATCTGATCTTAGTTTAAACCTAGTCTGACAGCAACACACACTCTTTGGAAATAGATGCAGTGGCTTGAGCTGTCTCTGCAGGGTTTAGTGTGAGAGCTGTCCTTCAGCTAGAACTTCTCCTTACCTCCTTACTGGCGTTTTACATCCCCTGGCCTTGATTTTGCCTTCCTTATTCCTGATCTGCTCCACTAATTTCTGGCTAAAAGATCCCTGATAAAACTGTTAGTACAGATTAACCCTGCTTTTGAGTAAACATAAGTCTCTTGAATTTCATGAGGAGTAAACCAGCTTGATTCTATTAAGATAAGGAAACAAACTGATAGTCTGGAACAATTTGCATTCTATTACTTTCTTTTTCTGTCTGCATTTGCCTGGTAAATTGAGTTTTGCAAATTACGCACCCCAAAATACTGTTTATAGGACTTGTAAAGAAAACCAAATCAGTGTTCCCAAACTAAGGAGTACTTGGCTAAAATTTCCTTGAAGAAGATTCCACCATTCAGAGAACCACACACATTCAAAATGTAGTGAAGCCTCAGATGCAGGGGTGCATCAGGATGCACCCCTTCCCATGTGAATTCCCATGTGAAAGGGGGAAATATTGTAAGCATTAGAACTGGTTTGTACCAGTTTAACAAAGTTTAACTTTTATTAGTGCTTTGTAATGGACATATTAGTTCTCATGGTGAGATCTGTCATATGGTTTGACAGTTCTCAGACTTGTGGATGGCTTTATCAGGTTTTTATAGGTAACAAAGCCTGTGGTAAGTTACTCACTCTGTGTGTGTGATTCATAAACTTTTGCATCATGGTTACTTTGTGGTAATGCTTTTACAGTAAGTGATGCAATTAATGCATCACTGCATTTAATTGAACCCATAGAAAGACATGAGGGAGTCCACTTTATAAAATCTGTCTGTAAAATTCAAGTAGTGTTCCTCTTCTAATGTATTTTTCTTCTGTTTGCAGAGAAGATAACACAAATATAGAAATTCTTCGAAGGGGACATTGCTGATATGAGAGATGGCCACTTGTCAAGAAAATAAGAGGCTCACAGACAATCCAAATGGAAGCAATGCCTTAATTGTACCTTTTATGTAGCCTTAATAAACAAGCTTGCATATTTAAAGTATGTTTACTGTATTAAAACCAGTGGTTGTAAACATATCCACATACAGTTATAACCTGAACCCTGATTTATTTTCTTACTAAAGATGGAAAGAGATGTCCCGACTCTGTAACAGTAGGTGAGTTGTCCAGGGAAGGGATTGAGTGTACCGAGGAAGGAAATTAATGGGTGCCAAGCACCATTCCCACAGCTCTGCCTGGAATCAAAGAGGCAGTGCTCTTTGGTTCTGGAATATTCCGAGCCCACAGGTGCTAGTGACTCCTGGAGAGCCACTGGAGGGGTTTCCTGTGGTGGCTACCAAACTGGTGATGGTGACCTGACACATACCAAGCCTCTGCCCCTGGCTCCCTACCTGCAGGTCCTGCTGGTACCAGTGACCTGGACACCCTGTACTCTTGCTGCAAGTAAGGGCTGTTTTGGAATGCTGGAGGCATGGGCAGGGGGCATGCATTGCCCTCCGGATCTCCGTCCCTCTGGGCACTGCTCCTTGGGGCCTGGCTGGCACCCATGAGCCACTTCCTGTGGCAAACATCAAAGCAAAATTGGAAAGCTCAAGACTCCTGCCAAGAGGTGCACTCCAGAGTGATTCTGGTGGGCCTTCCTATAGGGAGGGCGTGCGAGAACTGGGGTTTGGTCCTCTCTGTTCTTATCCTGGATATGGGCACATATCCTGGGTTTATTCCTTTCTGTTCCACTGAACACTCGTTCTTTGTGTGTTGATTGAAATTGCAGCAGCACTGCAGGCAGAGATGTACAGCATATATGATGCCTGAGGAACGTTCTCAGGTCAGTGACTTTGGGTTTGAAAAACAATAATGTTTTTGCCTTACAGTTCCTTTAAAGGATCAAAACTATCCTTACCTTCCAGCACATGCCCGCTTTCATTTTCTTTGAGCAAAGGCTAATTGCTAATAGAGGAATGTCATGTGTGGCACAACTGGAGGGCTGGAAGCAAAAAGAAAGCCAAAGCAGTAGTGTACCCCATTTGGGTGTTTATGAAGCTTTATAGCTGAAAAGGATGGTGAATTTCAGTATGATGGATTTAATTTTTTAAGTTAAAACTGTACATTACATTTAGGACCATGTTGAGAGCATTATCCAAACACACCTTGAACTCAGTCTTGGTGCTTCCTGGGGAGCCTGTTTCAGTGCCCAGCTGCCCTCTGTGTGAAGAACCTTTTCCTAATATCCAACCTAAACCTCCCCTGACACACCTCAATATAACTTATAAACAGATTCACAGCATAATTCAAAATACAGTGTCATAGAAGGATGTTATTGTAGTATTTAGACATCAACAACCTTATGGCAAGCATTCCCATTAGCTTATTACACGTGTGTGAGGCTAACAAGGAGTTATGCTAGCTGAACGGCATGATTGTGAATCAAGAAAGGATCTTTTTTTTCCGTCTGAGCTCAGGTAGTTGAAAAATATTTTGATTGATTAAGATTTTATGATGTTTTTTAGCTTCACAGGATCTCCACAGTCCTGGTCTCACCGAGAGGAGAATGTGCAGCCATCCATGCAGATCAAAGGAAGGTCAGAAGATGTCTTACTGGCTTTTGCTAATGAAATGTGGAGATGAATGGATTTTTTCCCCTGGTTGAGTTACAAGAAGAGATTTTTTTTTAACTGATTAAATCCCCAACTCTCCCTCCTGAAGAATTTTCATTGTTTTTAAATTTTCCCAGGAAACATGTTTTTAATAGCTCCCTGAACTCCACGTTCTGTTGCTCAGCAGGCACACTGTGTGTGTGTGTGTGTGTTTTCTGGGACAGCTGGGCTCCAGCTCCCAGCTGTGGTAGTTTGGAAGTGCTCAGCCCCTTGCTTCAGGCACCCTTGGAAGGGTGTGCAGGCTTTCCCCATCAGAGGTGTAACTGGTTAGTTACCTGCCCACTAGTATCTAGAGGAAAAGAGAAATCTCTCCTGGGTGACACAGGACCGTGGGCAAGAGCAGAAAGGAAAGCCATGTCTGGACCCCATGGGAGACAGAATGGAGAGCTTGGATTTGTGGATTTCCAGTTTGCTCTCTAGGCGGCAGCATTTGTTTTCTTTTAAACCTCATTTTGTGTTTTCAATAGGGGTGTAGGAAAGGCTTTTTATTCATCATTATCGTTTGAATGCATAAACGTTCTGTTAGGAGCTGTTTGTTTTCAACTGTACTATTATTATTAGTGTCATTGACGCACAGTCAATTTCATTTATTTGGCAAAGCTGACTTGCTTTTTCCTGGTCGTTGAATGCAAGTATGTTTCTTTGGAGGACACTCTGTGGTACACAATTTGGTAGAAGCGTTATTCTGTGGGCAGATGGCTCACAGATGAAGCTGTGGCATTCATTTTCATGTGTAGGATTGCACTGGCTTCTATCTAAGCCTTGTGATTTTCAAGCTGGTAATGTAGCAACTGCTTCATTTTCTAAACTCCAAGCATCTCTAGAAGTAGCATAGGTTTCTGGACAGGGAGTTCTTAGCTAGATAACCTAAGGAAAAAAACCCAACTTTTCTCTGTGAAAGTGCCTCATCTTTTTCACTGAGGAAAAATTAAGCCTTTTAAGTGCTTCTTCTATCAACTGGTGAGAAATTATACAAGAATTTGGTACATGTGTTTAATCTTACCTTTTAAGTTCTGAATATTTCTTCCTGACATTAGGTGGAAAAGTATTTAGAGTTGACCTAAAGCTGGTCCTACACAAGCTAGTCTGTTCCAGCTTCCCCAGTGAAAAACCCTACTGTGAAGCACTCTGGAGCAGAGAATAGGGCTGGGACTGAGATCCTAACTTCTCTAATAATATCTTGTGTCACTGTAGATTCTGTGGGATATTGCAGCAAGCTCCAAGCTGCTGCACTGGAAGGGCCTGGGTTTTCTGGAAGTCCTTTCTTATCTGCCAGTGGATATCCAGCAATTTGCAGACTGATAGCTTGCTTCTCTCCTAATTTCTAAAAATCAGCTTTTCATTTGCATGGGATTCATAGCTTCTCTTGCCCCGCAATGTTTCTGCCTTCCTTAGGCCTGTGGTAGGAGACATAAATACAGCAGGATGCACAAAGCTGTAGTGAAATGGGAGATTGTGAATGGGGGGTCACATCAATGGTTAAGTTTATCTGCTAAGAATCATAGAATCATTTAGGTTAGAAAAGACCTTTAAGATCATCATCTGTAAACCTGACACTGCCAAGTCCCACTAAGCTGTGTTGCCAAATGTAACTGAATGTAAATCCTGACAATCAAGCAAAATGCAAGTTGTGTCCCTGGTGCTTTCTCTGACTGCCAGCTTGCCCTCTGCCCAGAGAATGCATCAATCCCCTTGGCCAGACCACTGATAAAGACACTAAACAGGGCTGGCCCCAACACTGAGCCCTGGGGAACCCCACTAGTGACCATCCACTAGCTGGACCTAACCCCATTCACCGGCACGCTCTGGGTCCTGCCACCCAGACAGTTTTTTATGTGGCAAACAGTGCACCCATCCATGCCATGACCAGCCAGTTTCTCCAGGAATTTAGGGATCTGCAGCCATAATCAAAGTTTATAATTTGACTGTCTATTGAGAGCTAGATAGTATTCATGTCAGAATCAAATAGGACAAGACAATAAGCAAAGTCATCTCCATGGATCAGCCAAAGTAAAGATTTCCTAAACTCTGGGCATAAAAGTCTGTAAACTCCTAGTACCACCTGTTGCTACGTGATTGAACCCAAAAAGAGAAAGAACCTGCATATTTTGGGGACTTCTCCCACTCCTACACAGAGAAAGAAAGCTATCTTTTAAAAAAGTTATCAGAAGAGGAAAAGGAGGTTTTTAACTCTGAAAATAAAACTGTTTGGGCTCATGAGGAGGGAAAAACCAATTTATTGTCCCCTGACAAACATTTCCTTTAGACTCTGCCATGGACCAATAAGGGAAAAAACCCACACATAAGTAATAATGGGCTAGAATAGGGACCTTGTACACATGCAAGTATTTTGTTTAATACCAGAAAAAAAAATATTTCCCATGAGGAATAATAGAACAGAAACATGTAAAGGTTTTAGGAACAACATTCTTCAAGATGTTCACAATTCCACTGCTCACAATCCTAAGCCACCTGACCTAGAGGTTGGACGAGAGACCTGGAGAGGTAATATCCACCTCACTTATTCTGCAGTTCGCAATAGCAAGAGGCAGGTGAATTTGCAACCAGCACCTGTGCTGCCCAAAGTCGGGTGTTATCAGAACCACCAGAGCCACCCCAACAGGTCTGACTGCTTATGAGAAAGCACCTCAGTTATCTGGAGTGCTGTGTGTAGGTGCACAGCAGAAAAATGCCTCTGAGCCCTCTGCCTAGCTTCCCATCTCTTGCATTCAATTTCCTTGGGTGAAAACATCAGGAAATGAATGTTTAGGGTCAACAGTCTGCCATTAGGGAGTGATAAAAGTACTTTATTCAGAACAGATAAAACACTTCCAGAGACTCAAGAAAGCCTCCAGGTCTTCAGAATGACAGGACTGAAAAACATCTGGCAGAGACCAGCAGGCTGTGAGCAGTTACACACCAGGTGTCTCCTGGGTGTCCCTACTCCCAGGCCACCAACATTTCCAATGCAACAGCAGGCTGGGCGCAGAGAGCAGAGCTGGCCCTTGGTGTATTTTATTTTTCCCATGGCTCACGTTTGCCATGGTCAGGCACACAAGTCAGCAAATCCATTTCTATGTGCAGAACAGGTGAATGGCCAACAGAGGTTAGAATTAGTATCTTGCTAAAAGGATACCTACTAAGTGAAGTACATTTCAAGGGAAGCAGACTCTGGAAACCCCTGACAGTCTGCTCCAGTGTTCCCTTGCCATGCAGACAGGCCTGTGCTGGACAGCAGGAGCAGCACAGGGGACACAGCTCTCCAGTGGGCTCCCTGAGCTCAGCCCTGCCATGCCCACCCCACTGAGCAGGGTGTTCTGTGGCCAGGCCAGAGACCTAAGAAACAGGAGACATGGCCCTACATAAAGCCCCCCTGGATAGGATC